CTTTGCTACCCTTCCACCTGGTCTCCTGCACACACAGTATATCTACCTTCCTTCTCTCCATCATGTCCGCCAGCTCTCTACCTTTCCCTGTCATTGTGCCAACATTAAGAGTCCCTATTCTCAGACCTATACTCCTGCCTTTCCTCTTCTCTCTCTGTCTACGAATCCTTCTACCTCCTCTCCTTCTTCGACCAACAGTAGTCTGATTTCCGTCAGCACCCTGTAGGTCAACAGCACTGGTGGCGATCGTTGTTAACCCGGGCCTCGACCGATTCTGTGTGGAGTTCACACTGATGATTCGTATGTTTAAATTTGGCATGTTATTATGCCGGATGCCCTTCCTGACGCAACCCTCTCTATTTAATATATTTGTTTGTTTATTTATACACACACACAGAAGAGCTGCACAGTGTTCACTTCAAAACCAGGTAATGAGTTTGCTGAATCTTGACTTTCATTTCACAAATGCACTAAGTCAAGAGTATTCAGCAGGCAGCTGGATTAAACTCAGAGTCCTTGATGTTTACTTATATTGTTATTAGATCCAGACTGAAGTCCTTAAATTGTTGGAGAATTTCAGAAATCTTCAATACAGTCTAAGAAATCTGTTTTGGTTCCTTGATGTAGTTTTTTGGTAATGAAAACTAATTCATTTGCAATGACATTTAACAAGCTCTTGGAAACAAGCAAGGCTTAGCTGCTGAATCATGGTACTATCAAGTATGTCAGCCACAGGCCGTTCAGATACTATGCTCAGCTGGGAGTAACCCAGACTTGATAACAGGAGGGGAAGCAGAGCTGGCTTCCACACCTTATGTACAGTAGATACTCACTACTATTCTGAGAGCACATACAGTATGTATTTATGGGCTGCTCATTTAGTAGATTGGTTCAGCATTGCATTTTTTTTTAAAACTAATAGGATAACTGGATATTTTTGTGCCTGGGTCTCATTTTGAGATAATGAAACCACTCAGTTCTACAATTCAGACTAACTATATTTAAATGCTGCCCTCCATTTCTACTTTTAGTAGAGTGATTCAGCTCACAAAATGTGATCAGGACACTCTCCAAATGTAAGACTGTCAACATTAAAAGGCAGCATGAATGACAGAATCCAACAACTTTATGCCACAAGAGGTAAAACATCAAGCCCATCTACTGCTTACAGTGCTTCAGACTGGCACAATTAAAGGTAATTTTCTAAACTGAGAAGCACTGGCTATTAACTGTAGCCCTCTATGAATGGCATGGCACTATTGAATGGCTTCCAAGCCAATGAGCAAATATGATTCATTCTTTGAGTCAGTATTATAAAGATAACAATTGAAGGTCATTTACTATTGGAGACGATGGAATTCAAAACAGAACTAAAATGAGAGTGAACATGTGACTTTGGAGCAACTGGAGGAAGCGTTGCCAACACGCCTGACCATGTCATTGGTTTGATGGATAGTCAGGCAGATAATCTCATATCAGGCTAGAGTACAGGGTCACCAGTTCACCAGAAACACCACCCAAACACAATTTATGTCATTCTTTTTGTGCTTGATATATGAGTAGAGCTTTTTTATACATATAAATATTTTTCTGTCCATAGTGGCCAGCAATCAGTTATGCTGTTTTAAGTGCACTACTTCTTAATGGTATAGAACATAGCCTATAGCCTACCTGCAGGTGTTTTGTACAGTATAGTTACAAATATGGAAAGTGACTGTGTCATATGAAGTCACCTTAACACAGAAACTTATGAAATTAAAAATATAACAAAATGGCATTTCACTCTTCCAACAGGTTAAAGTCAAGAAGAACCTCTTATTCTTGAGCATCTGAAGGTTGCACTCTTTGCTTTAATTCCTAATTGTAAATCAGACTGTTTAATGTTACTTTGAGTTGTTATTGTGACAGTATTATGTGTATAATGTATAAATTTCATTAACTGATTAAAACACTAAACGTTAACAGATCATTTAAAATCACTGCTTAGCTATTATGCAGCAGAACCCATTGGAAGTATTACTATATAAAAAAAAAACAAACAACAAAAACAATATCTGGAAAATGCAATTGGCATTTTAAAGTAGCTTTTCAAAAACAAAAACAAAACAAAGTGATAAATAATTGCATAAAAATGTGAGTCAATTCAAAAATGAGTCACCCAAGAACAAACCAAACACTTTATAAATAGAAAAACCATCTGGAGCAGAATTGTCAGAGCATTGCAGTATTGCTGCCAAGATCAGGCTGGTTCCTCTTTTGACATACAAATACAGCCTTAGCAATGAAATGGCTGCAAAATGATTAAAGTGTGTACAAAATGGTGAGCAGAACTTCAGTTATTTAAACTGCTGATTCAAAATAATCAACTGTGCCTCCAAATTCATCCAAACATTAAACTGTTTGATTATTTGAGCATTTTTGCATATTTGTTTGTAGCATGTTATTCCCCATCCCTCTTTCTGCTCATTTCTTTTCAGCACTGTTTTGCCAAATTAAAGGCTAAACATGGCCTCCCATTCAACCCTCTCCCAACCCAAAATAATAAAAACTAAAACAGCAAATAGGATCTGTTTCTGAGATAAGGTAGGAAGTGTCGCATTAGACTGGACTTCTCTGTGCCTGCATTGCCAAGATAAAACCCACTAAAGACACCACTTGGCATTACTTGTCACCACTGAGTACACTTCTATCAACTTCATATTAATATAATCAGCAACACTTCAAGTCATCATATTTAGTATTTATAAGCAGTATTTAAACATTTAACAATACATTATAATGCACTTGTATTCAGATCTAGGTATTCAACTATAACTCCTCCTGTAGACACACAATAATTGGAGGTTTCTGTATAAACAGATAACAATATAGTAGAAGGCACTAAAAATGTTTTCATTAGAGAAGTTATCCTTTAGCATATAATACAGTATGTTATTATAATAATGTATTCAGTTATTAATGATTATTCAGCAAATTAGTTAATGTGCTAGCATACACTGCATCAAGTTTGACCAATAAAATGTGCCTTTAGTCACATTGTAATTAATTGTGTAATACATGCAATGACAGTAGTAAACATTGCTGGACAAAGTATTCAGATTTTTATTTAAATAAAAGTACTAATACTTAATTACAAGTATAAGTCATGCATTGAAAATGTTATGAAGTACACAAGTATAACAGAAAAATGTACTTTAAGTGTTAAAAGTAAAAACTTCAGAAAATTGTCCAGTGAGTGCTTTAAAAAAATATTAAATGATTATGATTGATGCGTTTATGTGTAACAAGCATTTAGTTCCTCAGGTGGATCTACTTTCTAACTATTCTTTAATGCATGGAATTAATGTTCTTGACTGGTTTGTTGAATTACAGAGCTCAAGTGACAGCTTGGCAAAATTTTTTTTAGCCAAAGAACCGCCCAAACCTCATAATTACTACAAATAATGAAAACAAAAAGGAAAACTAGTAAACCTTCACACTTGAGAAGCTGGAACCATAATATTACGTGAAAAAATACTTTGACAACTTATCAAATAACTTTATCTCAGTCAACTACTGCTTTCAGCATGGAGGCCATATTTTTAGAGATTTTAATCAATAATCTAGTATCTTTAAAGCATTTTCAAATCTTTTGTAAAAAAAAAAAAAAAAAAAAACAACAAACAAACCCAAAACTTAATTTTCGAAGTATCAGGTAGTGTAAATATAGTGGGATAAGAAACAGGCTACATATTTCTCTCCAAACTTTAAGTCCCTTAAGGAAAATGCTAAATAGGCTATTCACTGCTACCTGTTTCTCACATGGGAATATTTGCCAGATTTTCACTTTTATATGATGGATAATTGGAGTTGTTGACTGTTGGTCAGCTATAACGAAGCAGTTATTAATATGTTAACAATGGCTTCATTTATATATTCTAAACAATCAGTTACGGTCAGATAGGAATAGGGAGGCAGGAGCTGCTGCGCTCCATTTGACAATGCTTGTGTACCGCTTGTTACGTAGCGACTAGGGCGGGGAATCCCTCTTAGTGCAGGCGGCACATGAAGCTGCGGATGGGATGCTCCTCTTTTCATCAGCTGATGGATGACAGTTTCAGAAAAGCGATGGTAGCGGTCTGTGTCAGGGATGTTATAGGATGAACCAGATGTCAATCTTATCAGTGCCATTTAGCAAGTCTTTAAACTGGCCAAACACATATTTTCATATTAAGAAACATAATGTATTTGCTTTACAGAGATACACAAAGGAACTGCATGAGGCTAAACATCCTTTTTATTGAATGTTGTCTCAAAGAGCCCAGATATCAAGACACCACCATAATGACAAATCTGATTTACACAATCGAGGTCAAAACTGAACAGTGAATCTCTAGGTAGGATAATAAATAATATGCAGATGCCGTATGTTTGTGTTAACAAACTATGTACAACAGGGAGTTAACCAGTCTCCGCTCTTTGCCATTTTCTCTGCCTCTACGTGCCATTTTGTCGACTTGCCGCATAAACTGGCGATTCGGGTCGGCATAAGCACTTTTATTCGCAGTAGTAGTTCGCCTATCCAGTACAAACCGGCGTCGTCCCAGTATTGACTGGTCATGGATTGGAGTGTACCCAGCGAGACAGACATGCCCCAACGTCACAGCCTAGGGCTGGGGCGGTGAGGGGTTGAGACTGAGCAAAGTGCTCCTCCGACTTATTGCAGTGGAAGGTACGGGAGAGGCGGACCGAGGCATTAAAAGCCATGCATGGCTCTGTCACGGTGCACGGATATTGACTGAACTGTTCCTGTTTATGCCATGAAGCATAGTTAGGTTCTTGTGTAACAGAAGTGGAGGCCCTTGACAGTTTGCTACTGGTAAGCGAATTTTTATTCTAGCTAAAGGTAGGAAAGTGTAGCTAGCAAGCTAACCTGCTGTTGTATGATACAGCAGATAAACCAGCCTAATACTGGCCAAACATGTTAACTCACGTTATACAATGTTTAGCCTTTTGGACAGATATGCACACTGTCTTGCCTGCTTAACCTGTGTATTAGCCCGGTGTCATAATTGCACATTAGGTTGTTACGTCTATGATTAGTTAGGTGTTTCATGCTTTGCTAGCTGAGGGACGAAAGGAAAGTTGACGTTGGCTATCGTTGCCTAGCTAACGCTAAGTAGCGTCCATTGAGTGTCGTCCTTTTGTTTAAAAAAATCTGCCAACAGTATAACATTTAACGCTGATATCTTGATATGACATAAGGCCCAGTAAGACCACTGTTAACGTTATTAATGTAATGTCTCAATTGTTTCCAGTCTTCTGTGATGCTGTCAGTGATTTGTAAAACTGTTAACTCATCTGATTAGCATTTCTCATCTGAAGGACCAGCCACCCATTCTGCTCTCATGCGAGCTGTGTGACAGTAACGTTACTGGCCGTCTTTATTATCTGATGATGGCTAGTTGTGTGTTGCTAACAAACTCAGCTAGAACGAAAACTGAACCATTGTTAGCATGGGCCGTTGCTCCAGGTGTCCACTGAGCTAGCTAGGTGCTAACAGCTTACTGCTTAGTTACTGTAGTCATACTTAAGCAACTGTAGCATCTTGCCTGCAACCTTATCAGTGTAGCTGTCAACGCAGTGGAGGAGTGTCTGGGTAAAAATACTCATCTTTACAATAAATCAAAGCAAGAGAGAAACCCACAAAATGACCTTGCTGGACAGGAAATGTACTTTTCTAGCACGACTGACTTAGCTCAGTCAGTAATGAAATTTCAGAAGACCCTCGATGACATTAATGGCCTTGCACACTCATATACTGAATCACAGCTTCAGAAATTATGAATTAGTAAACATGGCTTTGAAAGAATTTGTGGAATATTCCTGGTAAATAGGTGTATTTTGGCTGAAGCCTGCAGCATTTGCATGTTCAGGTTTTCACTGAAGGACGTGGTTCTTGAGTTCAGGTAAAGTCTTTGTATATGGGAAAAATCCCTGTCATGTCTGTTTCTATGACATGATCATTCAGGAAGAATTAGGTAATGCTGTCACTGGAGCTTGTGTTTGGCTTGTGAGCCTAGGTTATATTGTAATGTGCTGTCTTTACAGTAAAATCTACATTGGCAAAATCCGTGCTGTTATCAGGTTGTCTTTTGTAATACCACCTTCTGGCTTCCTGTTCACTTGTGATTGGCCCACTTGCTCAGTATAAACATGTCACAGCAGTATTAGCCTATAAGGTTTAGTGTACTTCAGCTAGAAATGCTGCAGTTTTGTTTTATATGCCTGACATAGGTTTTGCAAAACTTGTACTAGGTCCTGTATTAACATTATAGAATATAAGTATGATATAATCAAGGCTGCCAGTGCCTTCAATTTCTTATTGATGGCCCCAATGTCTTGTCAATCTCCATAAGCAGTTTATTCCAAGGTTATTTCAGTTATTGTGCAGAAATCAGACAGAACAGTGCAGGTGCTGGGACAATATGGGCTTTATTTCAGCAATAAGCGAATGGGCTGCAGTTTGCTTTACAGTACACAGCAAGCCTAACCAAACCGCTGGTCAGTATTGCTGTAATGTTAAGTAATTACAAATCCTGTCCACTTAATATGACTTTGAGTGTTTTTAGCCCAAATCAATGAATAATAAAGCCAATTCATTTGTAAAACAAAGGTTTGACTCATTAAACTATAACAAAGGATTATTTAGGAACCAACTGCAACAAAAATCAGTACAACTTTCTTTAGTGAGATTCCATTCTTTTAGTTTCAAATATGTCAGTCCTCCTGGCCATGGATTATACCAGTCATGTACAAATCTGTGGATAGATATTCTGCCATTCTTCATAGGTTAAAAGCCATTATTGTGATGCTACACTGTTGTACTCATTCTACCTAATTAACATAATAATAGTTTCTGGAAATTAGGTGGCCCATCTTATTTTGTTAGACAGTTTTAACCAGCACAAATTTTCTGAAGGCTTAGTTTTGCAGCTGCAGAGGAAATAAATTCATGAAGACTGAATTTATACAGTCTCGCAAAGTTTATACTGCACAAATGAACCAAGGAGAAATTTTGTCAAACAGCCATAAATTACAACTGTCACGTATGATGTGATTAAATACATCTGATTTTCACTGAAGATTATTTCCAGTAGTTCGTCTCAAAGGATTAAAGCTAAGACACAGCGCCTTTGCAGAATTAACACTAATGTCCTTGGTTCATGTTTGACATCACATCTCACAACAGCTAGCTAGAAGTGGTAATATTAGAGAGGTTAATAAACCAGAGGACAAACACTAGAAAAACATGCCCACTGACAGTGAAAGCTGAGTCAGACACTCCTTATGCCTCTTTCTCTTTGTAAAATCTTGTTTCTGCTTTTTAAAGATGCCATCTTTTTAAACAGTGAGACAAATAATGGTTGTTTTTCACAATAAACCAAGTTCAGTTTTCATCTTCTGTTCCTGCTCAGTACATATCTTCACCAGAAGAGATCCCTATCACTTGTTTCTATTGAAATTAGCATCGGCCTTAAAAATGCTGTGTCAGTGTTTAAGAAGCATACTTCATGTTATTGATTCTTGAAAGCAGGATGTGGACTACTCTGGCTTGTTAAGCACAGGCCAACATGTATGTTGTGTTTACAATAAGGTGGACTGGAGTTTATCCTCAAACAATGAGAGAGTAAGAAACAATCTCAAACTGAATATTGTTTTTTGTCGCAAAAGATTTGGTTGATATTTTTAGGAAAGACGGGGCACGAAAGTAGGTTTTATACAGCTCACGTATTTGATGGGGGCATTTCTATTCATAAGCTTGACTTGACAATTTGTATGATGTCCACTCTGTTTGCAGGACTGATGGCTCCAGAGTGACATGCAATGGCTTTAATGATCCCCCCGGTGAAACTCAAATGGCTGGAGCACCTGAACGGCTCATGGATCACAGAGGACAGCGAGTCGATAGCAACACGGGAGGGCGTTTCGGTGCTCTACTCAAAGCTACTGTCCAATAAAGAGGTTGTGCTGCTGCCCCAGCAAGTGCTGTGTCTGAAGGGACCCCAGCTCCCAGATTTTGAGCGTGAATCCCTCTCCAGTGATGAACAGGAGCATTACTTGGATGCTCTGCTCAGCAGCCAGTTGGCCTTGGCCAAGATGGTATGCTCCGACTCTCCCTTTGCAGCTGCCCTGCGCAAACGGGTGCTGGTGCTCCAGCGTATTTTCTGTGCACTTTCCAACAAGTACCATGACAAGGGAAAGGTCAAGCAACAGCAGCACTCTCCGGAGAACAACTCGGGATCCGCTGATCTGCACTCTGTCAGCGAGCGGCCACGCTCAAGCACTGATGCCCTCATCGAGATGGGTGTTCGCACGGGACTCAGCCTTCTTTTTGCTCTGCTGCGCCAGAGCTGGATGATGCCTCCTCCACCCAACCCTCGTGGAAGTCCTGGGGGCAGCATAAACTTGTGTAATGATGTCATTCACACAGCCATTGATGTGATTAGCTCCCTTCCACCTCTTTCTTTAGCCAATGAGAGCAAGATCCCACCAATGGGCCTGGACTGCCTGGCTCAGGTCACCACCTTTTTGAAAGGGGTGACCATGCCAAACTCTGGTGCTGATATTTTAGGCCGACGGCTTGCCTCAGAGCTACTGCTAGGGCTGGCTTCTCAGAGGGGTTCTCTGCGCTATATACTGGAGTGGATTGAGATGGCCTTGGCTGCATCAGCTTTGGTCAGTACTATGGAGCAGAATAAGGTGCCACAAAACCAAGAGGGCCTCATTGGCTATGATTGCTTCATGAACATTCTTATGCAGATGAGACGTTCTTTGGTAAGTGAACATTAATACTTTTGTCAGATAAGAAGTTTTTTTTTGTGGTCTAATAAGTCAAGCCAGAAGGTAGGACGTTTTATACTGTCTGCTTACAACAAAGACACAGTAGCCCAGAAAGCTTTGCTTTGCTTTTAGCTATCAAATAGGCTTAAACATGTCATGCTCCCTCTATTAAGTAAATTAGTTATTCAAACAGGTGTTTGTTATTTTATGGAAAACTGTGGTAGAGAAGTAGAAACATCTTTCAAAAATGTATACTCATCTTATCTATTATATTTATAGTGCTGGCATTATGATCTTAAGGTGTGATAACTGAAACTATTTATCATTTATCAGTAAAGCACAAGCGGTGCTCCGTACCAGTGTGAATTCTCACCAGCATGGAAATTGATGTCAAAAGAAATATTTTATCGGACTCAGACATTTGGTTATCTAAAATGAATTGTGATGTGTCCTGGATTTGGTTTCTGTCAGATTTAGCAGTGTGTATGTGTAATTTAATGGTTTATTTTTTATTTTTTATTGGTGTCTGTTACAATAGTAGTGTTTTCCATTAGCGTACACATGTTCTGTTGTGAAGCACTCTGTGCTCCTTTGGAGTTGTAAAGTGTGATATAAATAAACTATTATTATTATTACAATACCTTCATAATATTTAATGTCACATTTATACTTTATTTGGTTTGAAGCCTTGTATAGATGAAACTGACTTGTTATTTGACTGTGTCAGGGCTCCTCAGCAGATCGCAGCCAGTGGCGAGAACCCACACGGACCTCTGATGGCCTGTGTTCACTGTATGAGGCAGCACTCTGTCTTTTTGAAGAAGTAAGAAATGAAAACAGTGCTTTACAAACAGGGCTTTGTATCATTAATACTGTACGGTTGCAAGTATGAATGACCTGAAGTTCTCTTAGATTCCTGTCATACAGGAAAATGTGATAAGTTTCCCTGAAATCCCCCTGAACATCTACTCCCCCTCCACTCAGTTTTTAACATGGTAATACATTTTTTTGTGGGGAAAAGATATCAGAATTTTATATTTGAAAATCTTGTTGCAAAGAATAAACATGTCTGGAGGGGCTCTTAGTGATGTTGATGTGCTTTTCTTTCAGGTGTGTCGAATGGCATCAGACTACTCTCGCACCTGTGTCAGTCCAGACAGCATACAGACCGGTGAGGCACCTGTGGTGTCCGAAACATGCGAGGTGTATGTGTGGGGCAGTAACAGCAGCCACCAGCTAGTGGAGGGTACACAGGAGAAGATCCTGCAGCCAAAGTTGGCCGCCAGCTTCGCTGATGCACAGACAGTAAGAGAACAATCCACGTATGCTGTCGAGCTCCATGTTTGTACATGGAAAGAGAAAACATCTGTTAATCCTGGACTCATCATAGAAAGTAGAGAAACGGGTTGTTGTGACTTGTAAGGGTATTTTTTTTCCCCTCAAAGCATGACTTATCACCAAACGGGGAAGTAATTCTCACACATGGACACTACATCCGTAGATCAAAGCAGTGTGACATGCTCTATTGGTTTTACACAACTGGGAAGAGACAGAGTCTTGAGCTCTTCAAGATGAAAGAGTTGACAGCAATCAGATTTTTTTTTCTCTTAAAATATATTCTCTCTTTTCTGTTAGGAGAGTAAGGAAACGCCATTATGAAGATAACAGACTGTTACCACATAATTCAGTTTTCCTACAGAGGATTTCTGTTTGTCCTCACCCTTTTACTTTTATTATATCTCTGTACTTCAAGTCCTTGTACAATACCAGGAAGCCTAAATATTTGATCAGCACTGTGCCTTTCTCTGGGCTGCACAATATAATTTTTCCAAAGATGCTGATGTGATGAATAAAGTGTGAAATCACAAGCATAATTAGGCATAATAAAGATCTGTAGCTTTAATGCAGTAGTTTGGATGCTAAAATATCTCAGAAAATTTAAACAGTGATCATAAAATTATATGACTGATGAGTAATATGGAACACTCATGATGTTTTGTAGAGTCACAACAGACAATATTGTATGAGAATACTGGGTCAGCCTGGAGTTTTTCACTGGAAACAAATAAACCATTTTTCCTCATTTCTTGGCAGATTGAGGCAGGCCAGTACTGCACTTTTGTGATCTCCTCCGATGGCTCTGTTCGGGCCTGTGGTAAGGGCAGCTATGGCCGCTTGGGCCTCGGGGACTCCAACAACCAATCAACACTGAAGAAGTTGACCTTTGAACCCCACCGTGCAATCAAGAAGGTGTCATCATCCAAGGGCTCAGATGGCCACACGCTGGCCTTTACTACAGAGGGTGAGGTGTTCAGCTGGGGTGACGGTGATTATGGCAAACTTGGTCATGGGAACAGCTCAACACAGAAATACCCTAAACTTATCCAGGGACCACTACAAGGGAAGGTAGGGCTTCACCCGACATTAGAGTACAGCTTGACACGTGGTATTTTATTCAGGCTTCTTTTAAATTCAGTAGTAAATTTAAAGCAGCGTTTAGTGAAGGTAGTGTCTCCCCATCCCTTTCATTCTGTGAAATATTTTCCCACCAGAATCTGTAAATTTAAGAAAAACCTTGTGGCTGCTTGATTGCAGATATTATCACCTGATGCATTTTTTTTTTATTAATTACTTTACCTGCTTTCTCCTGTCCCTCCTATTTTTTTAAGTAGAAGAGAGAAAATCAACCGATGATTTGCTTTGTTTGTGTCTTTACTGGTATTAAAGAAATCTGTTAATGGGTGTGACTTTTCTTATGGCTCAGGTGGTGGTATGTGTATCTGCTGGCTACAGACACAGTGCTGCAGTCAGTGAGGATGGAGAACTATACACATGGGGTGAAGGAGATTTTGGAAGACTGGGTATGTTTCTGAATTAATTTATCCTAACACTGAAAGGAAGTCTTAATATGAGCCTGTACTTTAATATAGTTCCCAGTACAGCTGTGCTGATTGTCTGTTTTTTTGGAATTAAACATTTCTATACAATTTGCTGGAATATTTGAGGCTTGCGCAGAGATGGAGGTGAAGGTGGGATGCATTTGTAAACCATCTGTTTTACTCCCTTGACACAAAAGAAAGTCTAGTTGATTTTAATGGTGTAATAATTTAAGTAACTTTGCAACACATTTTACTCTTCAGTGTAATGTATAGTGTAGTATAAAGATAGCCACAAGATGCCTCACCCGATTCCCTATTTATGTAACCTTGCAATGATAAAACACATGGGTGACTGCTTCTGGCTCAAGGATTTTCCATGGCACTTTATACTAATAACTTTTGTTTTAAAAACTTCTGTATGCAAAATACATAACTTCTTTCTATCCAGAAGGCAGCAGTATAAACTTTCTCTAATGTACTGTGTGATTGGAATTGTCTTTATTGTATTGAAATCGCTTTTGTGGTCCATTTTCCCTTATAGGGGTCATGGGCTAAAAATGTAAGAATTGTCAAGCAACAATATATTGTCAGGTTGGTTTTATATATATCAAAAGTTGCTTCAGATGGATTTACAGTCTATAGTATAATATACCAAAGCCTCTATTCTGAAGAAGTAGGCGGGATTTGCTGATCCAGGCAGCGACTCTGATAACGTTACTAAAGTCAAGACTTTACTGTTACATGAGGGGAACAAACTGCTTTTGGGTGTTATGACACCAGCCAGATGTTGATAGTTTGTGCTACCCTTTCCACTCTAAATTCAGACAAGAAACAATGTTACATTTGTGTTCTATAATTTGTCTTAACAGTTTGACCTTTAATATTTGTTTGGGAATGCAGGTCATGGTGACAGCAACAGCCGAAACATTCCTACCCTTGTTAAAGACATCAGCAATGTGGGAGAGGTGTCATGTGGTAGCTCCCATACTATTGCACTGTCAAAGGATGGGCGTACTGTTTGGTCCTTTGGAGGAGGGGACAATGGTGAGTAAACCCATTTACAACACATCACAATAAATTCTATGAATTGACATATTTATATTTGAAATCTACATTTTGAGCATGAGCTTTTTCCAGAGTGTGTAGTACATTTCTGCAATATGTGTGCATAGTCTTTGAAGTTTTGTATATTCTCTGAACTTATAGTACATTTCAAAAATATTGAAAACAAATGTTTGTTTATTATTGTATATGGTTTTCACTTTGTTAAAATGTCACTGTGTTGCGCATCACCAAAATGTGAGTATATGCTATATACTGTAAATCAGTCTAAGAAATGCCACACATTGCCCTGCAGGAAAACTGGGTCATGGAGATACTAATCGAGTGTACAAGCCAAAGGTAGTGGAGGCCCTGCAAGGGATGTTCATCAGGAAAGTGTGTGCAGGAAGTCAGTCATCTCTCGCCTTAACCTCTACTGGCCAGGTAGGGCATCACTCCTCTACTGTTCACCAAGACAGAATGTAATAAATTCAGCAATCTTAAATTGCTGGCATGGTCCATGGTGGGACCATGCCTGATCTGTGACAGGTCAGCGCACGGCCCCTGTTCTTAACGTGTATCCCCTTCAATGATGCAGTGATTGCAGCGCCACCTTGATAACGCCCCTAAGCCTCCTGTGTGTAAGCCACCTGCAACGTTTTATATTTCTGCCAGGTGGAGTAGTATTTGTTGTAGTTTACTGCAGAGGCAGACTAATAATTTGATCCTTTTCTTAATGTCCAGAACTACTGTTGAACGAGTATAGTAGGACCGCTGGACCGAGCTGAGCCATTTGGTTGGCAGTGGCTGCCTACTTATTAGTCAGTGTTTGTGTCTGTCACAGCTTACATGCGGTAACAAAGTGCCTTAATGGGCATGTTTACTGTGGAACCTAGACACGCACTATCAGATGTGACAGGAAAAGGGGGAGTCCTGGAAGGCTGATGGTACCGGTACACCAGCTCAAAACTGTTCATCTGGGAAGAGCAATTTTGAGTGGCTGCATCTGTAAGCTTTGAGAAGAAATGTGCAAGCTTGAGGTTTTTGAGCATATGTCCCAAAGATGGCATTTTATACAGCTGCATTCATTCTGACAGCTGGTTTGTTATTGACACTGAAGTATTTTAAGGACAGAACTTGTTGTGTAACATAGCTCCTCTTTCCTGACTTTATCTCAAAGATATGGTCTCGTTGTTTTTTCATCAAGACAGCTTTTGACTGTAGAAAGACAAAATACCATGTGACTAGCAGGAAACATTTGCCAATGTTGATTCATGTTACTTGTTTTTAGGTGTACGCTTGGGGCTGTGGTGCTTGCCTAGGATGTGGGTCTTCTGAGGCCACAGCACTCAGACCCAAACTAATTGAGGAGCTGGCTACTACCAGGGTGGTGGACATCTCAATAGGGGACAGCCACTGCCTGGCCCTGTCACATGGTAGGCTTTCTTGTTCATGTTCTTGCTTTTTGTCTCACTCTTTTTCCTTTGAAATACTTAACTGCTCAAAACACATAGCATGCTGTTAGGGATTAATGGTTAATGTTACAATACATGCTAAATGTATTGCTCCTGCCAGTCACAGTGTGAATGTTACTTTGCTGACATGGCAAGATCTTGTTTGTTAAACATGTCACAGTACTATTGCATGCATGATGTAATCATATGATGTAATAGTAAATACTCTAGACTAAATTTGTTTAACCTAATTCTTAACCTCTGAAGCTTCAGGTATTCTTGAATGCAATACAAATTCTACCATATTATTAAAGTGCAGTGGTAAATATAGTCACAGCCATGTCTAATAATCACATTTGTCTACTGCTCAACCACCATTTAGACAATGAAGTGTATGCATGGGGCAACAACTCCATGGGCCAGTGTGGCCAGGGGAACTCCACAGGGCCAATCACCAAGCCCAAGAAGGTCGTTGGCTTGGATGGAGTTGCTATTCAGCAGATCTCAGCCGGCACTTCTCACAGCCTGGCCTGGACAGCTCTGCCTAGAGACAGGTCAGTTGCTATTAGAGTAAGCACAGACTGTAATACAGGTAACCTTTACCATAACTGGGGTTTTACAGGAGTATTCATACAGGGCAGTGGAAATTTATCTGCATAACACATTTTCATACACATAGTCAATTCAAAGTGCTTTACATACTTGTAGACAATAAACAGGGTCTTAAATTCAGTTCTGTATTTAACTGGAAGCCAGTGCAACAATCTAAGGATTGGAGTAACATGTTCTCTCCTCCTGGTGTTTGTCAGTATTCTAGCAGCAGTATTTTGAATGACATTTAAATGTCTATTGGTCTTAATCGGGAAGGCCAGTCAGGAGGGGTGAAGGCAAGCACTAGTGTCACAACATCCCTGGACCTCTGTTTAATGATTGCATAAGACAAGTCAGTGGCCAGTAGTTGCATGTCAGATGTACACCCTGTGTTATAGCTGATAGGATCATGCTATGTGATGGTTGAATATGTGTGATTTGTCTGGTATTTAATTTGCTGAAGTAGCTGAAACAGACAGTTCAACAGTTTTCTGCAACAGAAAAATATAAGCATAGTTATGCAAGAGCTGGGGGGAACTTTGAAGTGGCTTTAAGGCACTCAAGTGATTTTTACATGAATTTCAGTTTACTTGCCAAGAATTGTACTGCTCAGCCTGTTGTCTTGGTAAAATGGGAGGTTGGGGTTTGAAGTAAGCAGTCAATTAGAAGGCACGGGAGATGTGGGAAGAAACATTCAGAATCAGCTTTGTTGACCAGATGTGTTGGACACACAAGGAATTTTAGTACAGTTGCTCTTGGTGTGTATGTACAATGTTCTTCCATAAAGCAACAAGTAAACAAAATAAGACTGAGAGAACAAAAACAGAAAAAGAATGTGCCAACAAGAAAAAGTAATGTGCATTAGGGATATAAATGATTATTATTGAGGTATGACTCAGGCATAAGGGTGATTTGGCACAAATTCATTTTAATATAGATAGTGGCATGCATGCAATTCTTGCTATCATTATTGAAGTGTAGCGCTGCAGTAAAGTTCTCTTTAATGCAATTACCAAAAAAGAATAAGAACAAACATTCCTCATACATTCTGTAACTGAATTGCCATTTTTCATTTAGGCTACATATTGTACTGTGTCAAAAAGAAAATACAGAACCTTAAGTTTTAAGTGTCACAGTCAGTAGGTTTCATTTGGTCATTAGGTCTCACGGAATAGGTCTCATTTGTCCTTCATCTATTGCATCAGTTCCTCTTTTTTCATAAAAAGAAAAAAATTCAGAATTCTTCTTTTCATCTCTCCATTTGCAGTCAGTGCTCAAGTCCAAGTTGAGTCATGAGTCCTGAAAATCTGGACTCTAGTCCCAGTCGTGGACTTGAGTACTACAACACTGGTTTACCCTAACACTTGAGCATGTTTGAAGTACTAATATTATTTACTCCTTGTGGTTCTAGGCAGGTGGTGGCTTGGCACAGGCCATACTGTGTTGATCTTGAAGAAAGCACTTTCTCCCACTTGCGTTCCTTCCTTGAGCACTACTGTGATGGTATCAACAGTGAGGTTCCTCCTCTTCCCTTTCCATCATCCAGGTGAGTTCACTCAGCCTGCAATCCACCACCACCACTAGTGTCAGATATAGTGTTTAAAGCAGAATGACAGACTATGGAAAAAAGAGACAGAATTACAGTATTTGTTTTTAACCCCTGCTCTTTTTCTGGCACTTGCAAATTACTTTTGCTTGCTTGGTTTACACTTGTCTTTTTCAATAAAAGAATTTTGTGTAAAATTGTAAATATGCCTAGGTATATATGGAATTGGAATGCCGTATTACCAAGTTCTGAGTGAGTCACTTTATGTAATTGTAGGGAACATCATAACTTCCTCAAGTTGTGCCTTCGGCTTTTGTCCAATCACCTGGCTCTGGCTCTGGCTGGAGGCGTGGCTACCAGTATTTTAGGTCGACAGGCCAGGCCCCTGAGGAACCTGCTATTCAGACTGATGGACTCCTCTGTGCCAGATGAGATTCAGGAGGTAAGAAAATTGTATGGAGCCAAGTTGTACAAACTTGTAAGGACAAAATAGACCATAAGTACAAAAAAGTCTTAGAAAAATAGCACTACTGTGTGATAAAACATGCAGTACTGCAAGACTTTAATTTCTTGTGACAAGGTTCTAAACCTGCAGGCCATTATCACATCACATGAAGCAGTGACAATACGTGGGTGTGTGTTTGTCCCATCAGGCAGTGATTGAGACTCTGTCTGTGGGGGCGACCATGTTGCTGCCTCCACTGAGAGAGAGGATGGAGCTTCTTCACTCCTTGCTTCCTCAAGGCCCTGACAGATGGGAGAGTCTCTCCAAAGGACAGGTACCCTATGCTGCCTTAATGTAATATGTAGGGTTTTATCAGGATTCATGCCACAGAATGTGCATGTAGAAGGATGAACAATTTAGTTAAAACATGATTATTTTTTTCTTTTTTCTTTTTTGATGATCAGTGGAGTAATAGATACTGATAATTGAGTAATTGCTTTAAGGTCTTTTGAATATATTTCTGTAGGAGAAATACAGTCCAAACCATAATCACTAAGTACATTTTATGTATCTCACGTGCACCTCATCTGAGGCTCACGTGTGTATACTGCATGCAGGTTCATTCATTCATTCAAAGCCCCTACACAAACACCTTGAAGAAGGGAAAACTAAACTGCCTAATTAAACTCTGACAAACAGTATACAACAAGGGAATTAATGGCTACACTTGAAACCAATGTACATTTACGGGTGTGTCCAACTCATGGTAAAACAGAGCAAATGAAAACTACACACACTTTAAAAACACTGCATGTTCAGTAAGACTGATGTAACAGATACTTTGCTGTTCCTATTTCCTGTTGCAGCTGTTTACATTTGGAGAAGCACAAATATTGCATTTCATTTATCTTTGGAAGTTTGTTTTCTGCAGCACTTTTATTTTGAGATTCGTATGAGTGAGAGAGAAAAAAATCAGAATCGGCCAAAATCAGCAGGTCAGCCCTAAAAAAAAAAAAAAAAGGGAAAAAAAATTGCAATCAGTGCATCTCTACTATCAAGTCGTGTTCTGTTGAAAGGTTATGTTTTTCTTGTCTGAAGTGTGTTCCTGTGCCACAGAGGATGCAGCTGGACATTATCCTGACCAGTCTCCAAGACCACACCCATGTGGCCTCTCTCCTGGGTTACAGCTCTCCTGCTGATGGCCCAGAGGTACTTTCCTCCGGGCCGAGTTTTACGGCTTCCCCAGACCCAGCCTACAGCGCTACAGCTGGCCACCCCGACACGCACCTGGCTGAGATCCTCATGAAGATGCTACTCAGGAACCTGGGCTTTTATACTGTAAGTAGATACAAGGTGATGTTTGGTACAGCTCTATCAGAGAATGTGAAGTTTGCTCTCACTGACTGAGTGATTGATGAAGTGTGTGTTATTCAATAACAAACCATTATTTGTGGCCTCCTTATGATCTGTTTAGAACTGACAAAGGCAGACATTACTCAGCGAAGAAAGTGACCAGCAACATATAAAGACATAATAACTGTTTGCATTTTATCAGTTTAGAAATAATGTGTTTGTTGATATTTGTGACTTTGGTGAAGACCACATCACATCACATTTCATTACCAATTTATTTTTACATTCCACAGTTTTTCCATCTCCCTTTCTTCTCTCAACACTCAAGTGCTGGAGGCTGAGCATGAGTCATATACTGTATAATCCTTTGTTGTTTTCACCTTTTTTCCTGCAATAGCAGGGGCTTGTTCATTCTCTAAAGATGGCATTTTGTTGATCGTAACGAGTGTGCGCACGCAGACACACATGGCTTGTTTTTAAGTGTATGCAATTACTATATGTAGGCCTGGAGCAATAAATGATAATTAGACTGGAAGGTTTTCAGCTTCCATCACTTTTGGAGATATTTCTGATTCTTGCATTTCTGTTATTTCCACACATCTAGAACCTCTAAAGCCACACATGGAAAACCGCATTTAAATAATTTATTCATCCATTTTATGCCACTTATCCGGGGTGGGGTCGTGGTGGGAGCAGGTTCAGTAAGGTAGTCCAGACGTCCCTCTCCCTGGTGACGTGTTTTAGCTCTGGCAGGATTCCAAGGCGTTCCCAGGACAGGAGAGATATATATAATCTCTCCAGTGTGTTCTGGGTCTGCCCTGGGATCTCCTACCAGATGGACGTGTCCAGAAGACCTCCAAACGGAGGCGCCCTGGAGATATCCTGTTAAGATGCATGAACCACCTCAACTGGCTTCTTTTCAATGTGAAGGAGCAGCAGTTCTGTTTCAAGTCCCTTCCAGATGACCGAGCTCCGCACCTGATCTTTATGGGTATGTCCGGCCACCCTACGAAGGAAACTCATTTTGATCGCTTGTATTTGCGATCTTGTTCTTTTGGTCACTAGCCACAGCTTGTGACCATAGGTGAGGATTGGAGTGCAGACTGACTAGTAAATTGAGAGCTTTGCCTTTTGGTTCAGCTCTTTTCTTCCCCACAATAGTCCAGTACAACATCTGCATTACTGCTAATGCTGCCCCTAGCCGCCTATCAATTTCACACTCAATTTTATCCTTGCTCGTGAACAAGACCCGAGATACTTAAACTCCTTTATTTGGGGCAACAACTCGTTCCCAACTCGGAGAGATAAGTCCAGGATCCCTCATGTAACCTCGCAAAAGTAAAGGGCTGGTCCAGCATTCCACGAACTGAACAGAACCTGCATTGTTCCTCCTGAATCTAAGGTTCGACAGTCTGTCAGAGCCTCCTTTCCAGCACCCTTGTGTAGGCTTTCACAGGGAGACTGAGTAGTGTGATACCCCGATAATTGGAGCGTAGTCTCTCACCACTCCAGTCTGTTAGTCCACAGGCACTGTCCCAGTCCACCATGCGACATTGAAGAGATGTGTCAACCAGGATAGCCCGACTATGTCCAGAGCCTTCAGCATCTCAGGGTGAATCTCATCCACCCTTGGTGCCTTAACACTGAGGAGCTTTTTTGGCTACTTCAGTGACCTCTGCCAGAGTTATGGGCGAGGTTCCCCCCCAACTCTTCCACCTCTTCCTCCTCCTTGGAGCGCATGTTAGATGGGTTCAGGAGTTCCTCAGAGTGCTCCTTCCACCACCTGACAATATCCCCAGTCCGAGTCAGGAGTTGAACTCCCCTGCCAAACACAGCCTCGGTCAATCCCTGCTTTCCTTTTCTGTAATAAAAAAAAAAAAACGGTAATCACTTGGATAAAATTAAATTTTGGTGGTCTAAATTTGAAATATGTATGAAAGAATATACAACCCTGGTGTGGACGAAGGTAACAATTCTGTTTCATTCATAAGGCATTTCAGATCTTATCTGGCTGTGTTGTTTTTGCTTTTATTTCTTATAGTGGGTTGTGGAAATGTGGGGAGAAAGAGGGGGAGACATGCAAAACATACAGACAGGTGACAAAGGAAATCCTGAACAAATGAATGGTTTCTTTCAAGATGACTGTCCCCATCCATAGGGCATGAGGAGTCACTGAATGGTTTGATGAGTATGAAAATAATGTGACTCGTATGCTGTGGCCTTCGCAGTCACCACATCTCAACCCAGCTGAACACCTATGGGAAATTTTGGACTGACGTATTAGACGGCATCTTCACCACCCTCATCACAACACCAAATGAGGGAATATCTTTAGGAAGAATGGGGTTCATCCATCCAGTAGAGTTCAGGCACATTGACACACACCATTTCCTTTGACTGTTTTAGTTAGACCTGTTTGTGTTTTTGTGAGCACCAAGTTGTTCATATATGATTTGTGTCTGTGTTGTACAGGATCAGGCATTCGGGGAACTGGAGAAGAATAGTGATAAACTGCAGCAGGGCACGTCCTCCTCTGACAGCAGCCAGCCAGCTCACCTCCACCAGCTCCTCTGCTCACTGCAGAAGCAACTGTTAGCATACTGCCACATTAACTCTGTAACAGAGGTATTGATACTCAGCTGTTCATGTATGTACAGCTGGTTCAAACACAGCTGTCTCTCACACACTACAGATTAGAGTTTTATGAATGGGAAAATAGAATTTACACAATCAAGAAGTCTCCAAGTATTTATTTAAAATTCTTGGTTATGTGCCAGTAAGTTAATGTCATTAATGCCTGTCCGTGATACACAATGTCTGGGTTTGGATTTTGCATAGTTAATCACCAAGCAGACTTATTGGGGCAGATGTCCCATGTTGGTCGGTTTGATGAAATTATTGATTTGTTGGCGCATCTTATTTTAGAACTCTTGTTACTGAGGTGTAAAATTACATTAAATTGCTCCTTTAAAGAAAAGCGGTATGGCTGTATCTAACTAAGGTTTTTGTCAGTTGACTGTCAGTCTGCTCTTCAGTGTGATTATTCAACTATTCATTCTTTTTCTTTCTTTTTTTTTAACATATAGTATACAATTTTCATAACTGATGAATGAAACTAAGTAACTCAGTTACTTAGTGCAGGAAGCAGTGGGATTGTTCCTAAAGTCACTGACATTTAAATTGTTAAAAGGCCAGAGAGTTCTTTCTAAAACAGTCACACATTGTATATGTAATCTGTGAAAACATTTTGATCTTCGTGTTTTTCTGCAGAACTCTAGCAGTGTGGCTTTACTGCACAAGCATCTACAGCTCCTGCTGCCCCACTCCACCGATATCTTCTCCCGCTCAGCCACTTTGATAAAAGAGAGTTCCTGGAATGGTAGCATACGAGAGAAGTTACAAGGTGAAGATTATCAATATGTTACTTATGCATTAAGCCAGAAATGCTTCCTTGCCTCTCACTGTCTTGCTATCTACCTCTTTACTTTCTTATTTTGTGCTTAAGTACTTTTGGCTTTTCATGGTAAAACACTTCCATTATCTCTGTGTAGATCCTAGGTTAAATTTATTCAATTTCACGTACTAATTTAAAATAAGTAATGCCATGAGATTATCATGTGGGGGGAAAAAAAATAAAGGTGAAACACCCCATTTAAAAATGGAAATCAAGTTAATTCAGTTTGGTAAATTATTCTTACACCATACTATAAAGGATCATTTATTCACATTAAAGGGAAGTGACAAGAATAAGTGTATCTTTTCATCACTTCTCTTCTATTTCTTTTTTCACTTTGCTTGTCTCATCCTAAAAATGTCTTTTGTCTTTTGACATTACCATTATTCTGAAACTTAAAATGCAAATCTTGTTTTCCATCATCTCCAGATGTGATCTACATGTCAGCGGCAGGCAGCATGCTGTGCCAGATAATCAACTCTTTGTTGCTGCTTCCGGTGTCCGTGGCGCGGCCTGTGCTAAGCCACCTGTTGGACCTGCTGCCTTCTCTAGACCTCCTCAACAGACTGCTGCCCGCTGCATCCCCTCTGGAGGACCAGGAGCTACAGTGGCCTCTTCATGGTGAGCACAAGAGGCTATGCAAGGCAAAGCTTTGAATGTATCAAATGATCAGAACATGTACTATACAGCTGACAATCCTAATTCAGGGTCCACTCACTAACTTTCAAGTTTTTTTTGTATATATGGGGGTATTTGTCTCTTATAACTAGCTACACATTTATTTGGCAATTTACAAATACAATCAAGATTACAAATGTGTGCAAATGGATTTGTGTGCCTCACGAAGGCCACAAATGTGTGTTTGTTGACCTACAAATAAAAACCAGATTTACAAATGTGTAAAAAAGATGTGTATCCCATGATGACCACAGATGTGTGTTCAGTAATCTGCAAATAAAATCAAGATTTTCAAACATGTAAAAACCATTTTCTGAGTGCATTTGTTTAAAATGCATGTTAGATGCGTGTGCACAGATCGCTAGTACTCTCAAAGTGTCTTTAAAATGTCTTGCTTTTTGGAAACCGTTGTATTTCTGAATAGTAGAATTTCTCTTCTATTTTTGTAGGTGCCTCTGACTTTGCTGAGCCAGCCTTGGGATTGTCCCTGCCACAGCCGGCGCACTCTTGGGTGTGGCTTGTGGACCTGGAGAGGACAGTGGCGCTGCTAGTGGGCCAATGCCTTGGTGGGATGCTGCAGGGAGCTCCTACCTCACTGGAGGAACAGGATACTGCTTACTGGCTTAAAACACCCCTCTTCAGCAACGGCTTGGAGATGGACATCCCACAGCTAGGTACACAGTGACGAGATACAGTGATGTGATGACTGAGTTTATGGTTTATTAAAATGTTTATCATTTAATATAACATGAGCAGTTGTGCGCAATGGTCCCAACTACTATGAAATTAATTTTGTACTCTTTGACTGTCTCATCAGATCCTTAAGGCTCTTGTCCAGTTGTCTTATAAAGAATGTGTTTGTCCCTTTGGTTTTATTTGTTTGTTGTTTCTTCTGTGAATTGTTGAGATGGTGAATGTTTTTTCACCTGCTTCTCAGACACTTGCATCAGCTCATTGTTGGAGGCAGCACTGTCTGGAAATGAAGAGCAGAAGCCTTTTGACTGCACGCTGCATCCTGACTTGAGTGTCCTTGTGGATTTGGCTCTGAGTTCTTCTAAAGAACCTGCCAACAGCCTCTGGATCAACATGCAGGACTATGCCATCAGCAAAGGTCTACCTTTAGACTAGATATTATGAATTCCACTGTCTCCATGCTAGAGTAATAAGCTTTGAAATGTTCATGACAGTGTACTGACTGTACTTTCTGTTGTTGCAGACTGGGACAGTGCATCTCTCAGTAATGAGTCCCTGTTAGACACTGTGTCCAGGTTTGTGTTTGCAGCATTACTGAAGCACACCGGGCTGCTGGACCAGGCCTGTGGAGAGGGCAGGTACTGTAGCATGATACATGTGATCCATCGGGTTTTAGGGTTTCACAGTATCAGCTTAAATTAAACATCACATCACTTCAAGTATATTTTTATTTTCCCAGGTACCAACCATCTAAATCCCTTGCAGAAGTCTATCGCAGTGTTTATAAAGTACGAAACCGTTTGCTGGCCTGTAAGAATATAGACTTTATTCAGACCCGATCATCTTCGCGTGAGAGGAGGGTGAGTAAACAAAAATTACATAGTGTGGCATTCCCTATTATTTCAACCTCAATTTATTCAGAAATTTGCATATAGTTAAAGGAGCTCTCAGGATATTTTTCTCACACTCACAGATGTTATTTGGTTACACTTGGTCAGATTTCAGACAATCAGGACTCTCTGGACATGGACCCACAGGAACACTCCTTCACACGCACCATTGATGAGGAGGCAGAGCTGGAAGAGAGAGCCGACCGTGAGAGAGAAGAGGGCCATCAGGAACAAGATGATGAAGAGGAGGAGAGGGAGCATGAAGTAATGACAGCTGGAAGTAAGTATACCTGCCTGAAGGTGTACCTATGCTTTCAGAGTGTTAATTAGGGCTGCCCCCAGATAGTCATTAGTTGAGAGACCTGTTAGTTGACTGAGACTCTTCTAGTCGAGCCTTTGTTTTTATTATATTTATTTTTCTCAGCCATTGTGTATTACAATAGAAGGTAGTCCCAGCCCAGTAGTTTGTTGTCTTCTTTTCCTTATTTTGGTGTGCCAAGCAGCAGTTTGCTCAAAGCTTCCCTCTGTGGTCAGGGGTAGGGATACCCACTTTAACGGTGATACTGTCCAATATGTACATGTACATTAAGGCCACATCTACAGTATTTAGCAAATTGCAGAATGAGAAGCAAAAGAACAACAGAACCCACTAGAGCAAGCCACATAAAGTTGAGATTTATACTTTATTAGAAGTGTTTTCAAACATCGTGGTCTACTTTTACAAGAGAAAAGACTGTTGCTATGATCTCACTGGTTTTGCATAATCTAATGTTATGTGAGTTCAGTTTGTTTACCCATCTACATTAACGTGCAATGCACAGCTGTGGTAAACTACGATATAACCATGTTTCAGAAGAAAGAAAATGCCCATAAGAGCATTGTTTCAACAGAAATACAAGTGTGCTACCTGTCTTCTTTTTCTGACAAATCCATATGGCAGCCCGATGTTGTACATTGTCAGTTTAAATAGGTCGGCGTTTTAAATCTTGCATCATATGCAGCTGTTTTTTATTGACTTATAAATGCTCAGAAATACATACCTGTCACTCTTTTGCATTGAAATACTGATGTTAATGTGTTTGAAATCATTACTGAAATTCATGTCTGTTGATTTTCTGACAGTCTAGGCTATATATCTTAAAAAAAAGAACAAGTAGTTGAATAGTCGTACCGAAGAGTTGACCAACTAAATCCTTAGTCAAGTACAACCCTAGTGATAAACCCTAGTTTTTGAAGACTGGGTGAACAATTTAAGGATGGATGTTAAATTTGGATGTTACTTTTTTAAATTCTGCCTGCCAGTCATTCATATCTCCACTTTATTACTATCATTATTAAACTAGTGAAAATAATAAAGTTGGTACTGTAGTCCTGTATTTTTTTTATCAGTATAATTTATGTAGTTGCAGAGAGCCACTGTAACCAAAATATGTTGTGAATAGTATGTTTAATATCTGGCATGTAGAAAGGAGATGGCCTTCACACTGGCCCATCTGTGGAATAACAAATGTTCATTGTTACAGAGTTAGCGGTTACCCTGAAATGTACTGGAATAAGTGTCATAGTATCAGATTCTTCTTAGTGTGTTGTATTTGCCTATGTTTTACTTTTAAACTTTGCACTCTAGTTAGCATTGAATGCATTGTCTGGCTGCTGCTTGTCCTCTAACCCTGCATCTTGTGTGTGTCGTATGTGCGTCTTCCACTACACAACACAGAAATCTTTCAATGTTTCCTCTCAGCACGGGAGGTAGCCCGCAGTCGGGACAGGGAGCGGGCAAGCAGCAGCACAGGCCTGGGGTCCGGCTCTGTTCCCAGGAGTGGAGGAGGAGGTGGAGAGGAGGACACTATTCTGTCTCAGGAAGGGCGGAGGGGCAGTACAGGTCTTCCAGAGGGCCAGGACCTGTACACAGCAGCCTGTAATTCGGTGATCCACCGCTGTGCCCTGCTGGTGCTTGGGGTCAGCCCAGTGGTGGGTGAGCTGACCAAGCAGAACCAGGAGGAGGGTCAGACCCAGTCTGCTACAGGAACACAGGAATGTCTGAGCTTCATGACAAGGTCAGAGCACTGGCCACCTAGATACAGTCAGAGGGGAGGAGGTGTTAAATCAAACTCTAAGTGTTGACAGTTTAATACTTTATTTAGTTGTTGGTGGGGATTTTATCCTGCAAAAATATTTTGGCTACAGGGTGAAATGATTTCACCTGTTTCCAAAAAAGCCATCTTGTTTCATCAACTCATTCTAACCTTTTTCTGAGGCAAACACAATATTAACATATACAGTAGGTTAACTTCTTTAAACAAATTTAATCTGAATGTTGACCTATGTTTATACTCCACATTTCACCTGGAGCATCAGAGACTTGATAACATCTGCCTACTGTTTTTCCGGGGCTTGTGCTCACCTCTGTCAGGCTCCAGATTTATATCGTGCTTAGCAAGAGTTGTTTAGTGTAGGGGTGAGAATTCTGGCTTTGTCACACATCTTTGGGGAGAGAATCATTTTAATCTATCTTGTTTAGCTATATTTGTATGGTGTTGCATTGATAAAGATGATCAGACTGTTTCTTTGATGTGTTTGTGTACATAGAAGTGAGAGTCTGAGTGCAGAGAGCCATTCGGTGCAGAGTAGTCCAGGTTACAGACTGATGAAGTCCAGGAGTGAGTCTGACCTCTCCCAGCCTGAGTCAGATGAAGAGGGCTACGCTCTGGTAAAGCAGACATTCTCACATACACAAATATATCATCTATCTCACTACATTGGTATTTTCTATGTTTATATGCATACCAAACGTTTACAGTGATGGTGCAACTGCTACATTGGGCTTTTATTTTTCCTTTCAGAGTGGAAGGAGAAATGTTGACCTCGATTTGGCATTCTCTCACAAAAAAAGAGGTAAAGATCATTTGCAATAATTAGGTCTAATATTGCGAGGAAGGATGGTCCAGGCTTGTCTTTGTCATTTATCATATGCTACTCTTGTCTTTCTGTCTTTTGATCTCTGTGTGAATAGTTTATTTGCTTCTTTTGGGGCAGTTGAGCCCCAAGCACAAGAGGAGCTCCAAACAAGTAAACGATGGCATGTTTCTTCCTTCTGTTAGCTCATACCACCATGACTGTGATGCCATTCATCTCTCATAATGAGGGCCACATTTTGAGCTCAGACACTTTACACTGTACTTTCTGTGTAACGTGCTAATAGATGAACAGTGAAAAGAAATCAAGAACATACAGATGTGCCTACTGTACAAATAGCAGTTCATTCTTCTGCTTGAAATGTTGACTTTGCACAGTGACAGCTCATTTCTTGTGAAGAATGTGATGTGTCATGCTGAAGAGATTTCATGAAATTACCAGTCATAATTTTAGAGAAATCATCAGTAGTGAATGATACTTTGACTTCAGTACGTCTAGCTGTTATATGCGAATGCTAGCCCTGGTTTCCATTCCACTTCTCAACTGCAGCATTATTTACCCAGTGGGTTTTGGAAACTCTGAGCCTGCTATAAATTAATTCATAATGGCTGATAAAGGCTTGTGCCTGCATGAAGAATCAATTTTTGACTGATGAACTCTTACAGCGTAATAATGCATTTCTCTGCATAGCTCAAGTGCTTTTAAAGCAACATGGTCCATCCATCAAAACAGTTATCTTGTGCATTTATGCATCTGAAAGGCTCCTCCCCCTCTCCTCTCTACCTCCAGGCTTACTTTACAGTTCACCAGACTCCCTGGCTGAGTCCTGGTTCAGGGCCAAACTAAGTCATCAGTGGAGCTACAGCTCGACACACTCCTATGAAGAGTCAGACCTTGACCTGAGCCACTCACTGGGGGTCCATGCTCTCATTGACAACATGGTCAGTTTTATCAGTGGCGATGTGGGTTTGACTCCAGCCTTCAAAGAACCAGAAGAAAGTATGTCAACCAGCCCACAGGCCATTATCCTGGCTATGGAGCAGCAACGGAGCAGGGCAGAGGTGAGGGACAGTCTTATGACTTTAACGAGTTTTCGTCTGCCTTGGAACTCTTGACTCTGAAGTGAAAGTCCTTTTTTGATTGGTTATAAAGATTAATCAAATCAGCCAGCACTGGGATTGTAGAAATCTTTATGAGTTTGCTGAGTGGTTTTCATGTTGTTTTTTTTTATTCTTTAGTTGAGAATATTCTATAACCATTTGTTTTTCTACAGCCCTGCTTAAAAGATAAGGATGGTGATGTTCTATATTTTTCCTATTGTCAATCCCTTGAAAAGATCAAAATCAGCAGTGCATTAGCCTGTCTCTCAATACACTGTCACTTTCCTGCTCTGTCTCTTGCTATCAGCTTCAAGACCATTGTTTCCAACGTGCATTAGCCTGTCTCTCAATACACTGCCACTTTCCTGCTCTGTCTCTTGCAGTTCAGCTTCAAGACCATTGTTTCCAGTTGAAGGTGTAAATCTTTAACATTGGTCACAAATATATACATGTATTTTTAAAAACTAGCGAAAGAGTTGTGAGCTGTAGTTTTGGATAGTTGGGACTCAAACAGGAGAAAATCGTACATCTGTTGAGGTTGATTTTCAGCTGTGGATTTAGTGAGCGGCTGGATATTTATAACAGAATGGTTTATGTGGGATTTACTGAAAGCAGCCATGTTGATAACATAAAATGCAAACTATGGCTCTATGAGATTTTAAATTGTATTTCAATAACAGTGGAGCTCAGTGGTACAGTATATGTCAAGCTGAGATATATCAGTGTTTGAGAACACAGACAATACGTGGTGGATGTATTCATTGTTGTTTTTGGCCTTTTCACTGGATTTGGTGACAATAAGCAAAATACAGAATATTACAAATTTATCCTTTTAAATTAAAAATGTCATTTCAGCTAAACAAATGAGGCTGTTTTAACTAGTTGATTTTCTGGGGTTTGCAATATGCCAAAATCAAACGGTCAAAGAGTTAGATATGTAACTTTAATGTCATATCCACTTGACTCCTGGCTGTCTTGTATTTCCAGCTGCGACTGGAAGCACTCCACCAGATCGTGGTGTTGATCTCTGGCATGGAGGAGAAGGGCAGCCAACCTGGGAATGCAGATCGCTCCAGCAGTGCCTTTCAGTCCTCCTCCTTGCTCACCTCTGTTAGGTTGCAGTTCCTGGCTGGTTGTTTTGGCCTCGGCACAGTGGGCACTGGAGGGCTGAAGAGAGAGAGTGTGCAGCTACATCACTACCAGGTACCACATAAGAGTTTTGATGTGCATACCCTACTGTTTGTGGAGTCTGGTATTTATTAATATTATTAACATTTGTAAACATGTAAACATTTTCAGCCAATTCTCTTGGCCTGAGAAGCACCATCGGTTATGTTTCTTGGTTTTCTAAACACTTAATGTTTACTGTGTTTTCTGCCTGTGTTTTAAGATATTAATGCAAACTTTTTTGCAGGATGGTGTAAAAGCAGCTAAGAGGAACTTACAGATGGAAATCCAGACAGCTGTCCATAAGATCTATCAGCAGCTGTCTGTGACACTGGACAAAGCACTGCAGGCAAACAAGCACCACATAGGTAATGCAGACTACTACAGGTGTATCTCAAAATATTTGAATATCGTGGATTTGTTTTTTTTTGTACTTTAATTCAAAAAGTGAATCTCTCATATGTTCTGGATTTATTACTCAAAGTGAAATATTTCAAGCTATTTTCATGTTTTAAATTTGATGTTTTGATGATTAAGGCTTAAAGCTTAAAATCAAAAATGTAGTATCTCACAATATTAGAATATTCCCTAAGATGGATCAAAAAAGGATTAACAATACTCTGTGGCATGGGAGAGATTAGCCTGTGACACTGCTGAAGCATTATTGAAGACCAGGTTTCTTTGATAGCAGCCAGTTCGTCTGTATTGTTGAGTCAGGTGTTTCTCATCTTCTTCTTGACAATACCCCATAGACTCTCTATGGGTTCAGGTCAGATGAGTTGGCTGGCCAATCAAACACAGTATACCATCGTCAGCAAACCAGTTAGTGGTGGTTTGGCACTGTGGGTAAGTCCTGCTGGAAAAGGAAAATCGGCATCTTCATAAAGTTTGTCAGCAGATGGAAGCATGAAGTACTCTTAAGATTCCCTGCTACACGGCTGCTTTGACTGTGAAGTTGATAAAATACGTTGTACCAACACCAGCAGATGACATTGCACCCCAAATCATCACTGATTGTGGAAACTTCATACTGGACTTCAAGCAGCTTGGATTCTGTCTCTCCATTCTTCCTCCAGACTCTGGGACCTTAATTACCAAATGAAATGAAAAATTTACTTTCATTTTAAAAGAGGACTTTGAACCACTGAGCAACAGTTCAGTTCTTTTTCGCCTTAGCCCAGGTAAGACTCTTTTGACGTCTCTGGTTCAGGAGTGCCTTGAAACTACGAATTTCAGAATTACAGTTGTAACCCATTTCCTAAAGACGTCTGTGCATGGTGGCACTTGATGCACTGACTCCAGCCTCACTCTCCTCCTTGTGAAGCTCTCCTAAGTTCTTGAATTTGTTGTGCTTGATCTTCTTAAGGCTGCGATTATCTCTGTTGCTTGAGCACCTTTTCCTATGATACTTTTGCCTTTCAGTCAACTTTCCACGAATATGCTTCGATATAGCGTTCTATGAGCACCAAGCCCTATCAGCAGTGACCTTCTGCGGCATACCCTCCTTGTGAAAAGTGATCATCTTCTAGACAACTGTCAATTTAGCAGTCTTCCCCATGATTGTGGCTGTGTGTTCTGAACTAGACCAAGAGATACATGGCATTTTTACTGTATGAACAGTAATTTTCTCAGTCAAAATAAAATATTCTGATATTTTGAGATACTGGATTTTTGATTGTCATGAGCTGTAAGCATAATTAAAATGAAGTGTTTCACTTTATGTGTAATAGATCTAGAATAAGAGTTTCACTTTTTGAAAAAAACTTTTCTGCGATTATAATTTTGTTTGAGATGCAGCTGTACTAAATATTCTTAGTATTGGAGCTTCAGTGATTTTATAGCCTAAGATTATCTTGGTTGTTTAAAATATAAATCATGCACATGTGTTTCAGAATTATTTAACATTAGCTCATTAATATTTTCAGTCGACAGCTTCACCTGCAGATGTATGGGAACGTGAGAGCTGGTTGTTTGTGTGTATGCAAAGAGACATATCCATGGCAATTTTCAAAGCTACTTAAGCTTGATGTAAATGTCCTGAAAACACAACAGTAGTCAGGACCCAGTCTGGTAACAACAGTTCTTGCCCACAGCACCACTGATGATCTTGTCTCTGCCTTTTTTCTCCATTTTAGAAGCTCAGCAGCGACTCCTGCTGGTGACTGTGTTTGCACTGAGTGTTCGTTACCAGCCAGTAGATGTCTCCTTGGCGATTTCCAGTGGGCTGCTCAATGTGCTGTCCCAGCTGTGTGGCACGGAAACTATGCTGGGGCAGCCTCTGCAGCTACTGCAGAAACCTGGAGTGTCCCAGCTCAGCACTGCCTTGAAGGTGGCCTCCACACGCCTGCTGCAGATACTGGCCATCAGCACTGGGTAAGAGATTTAGGAGGTTTAATAGTAGTGGAATGGAATTGCCATGGCATCAGCACATTATTAACGTGAACCAGTACAAAGAGAAGATTACATGAAAAGCTGTCTTTCCATGTCTTTGCAGAACATATGCAGACAAACTGAGCCCCAAGGTGGTCCAGTCACTGCTGGATCTGCTTTGCAGTCAGCTGAAGAACCTGCTGTCTCAGGCAGGAGTCAGCCTGCTGTCTTCTGGAAAAGACCAAGAAGACAACAAACATGAAGACAGTACAGACTCTGAAAAGAAGGACTTCAGAGGTGAATAAAGATATTTGCTCTAATTACCCTTCAGTGGTAAGGATCCTTTTATCAGTCATGCCAGGAACCTGTGTTGTCCTTAGTGTGTTTGATAATACATGCAGTATACTCTGCAGCCATTATTGCACTCATGTGAGTATTATTGCTTTTGTCAGTAAAAGCATCAAGCATATCTGTTGTCAGTATTTCCTTAACAGCAAACTTACAAAATTAAATTAACTTTTGTTGGTTGGAAATATGAACAAAATCCTGAACAAACATGTGAAAAATAGATGAATCAAATGTGAATGCCATGATAAGAAACAAGAGCCAGTCATGTTACATAATTAATCTACATAAGTCACAGACATAATGCATGAAGAAGACAGCGACTGTCAGCCTGACAAAAAAGCATATGCAAATTTAAGAAATCAAAGATAAATATGTCCTAGCAACATTCAAATGACTAAATGGAAATTAAAACTTAGAAGTAATTGTTTTTATCAGAAAAACTAAAACAGAGCTCTGTTATTGAGTAATGTTTCGATTCTATGTTTTATCTATATCTATGTTTTTCAGCTTTAATACGTAAGCAACACACTGCTGAGCTGCACCTGGGAGACTTCCTAGTCTTTCTCCGGAGAGTGGTGTCCTCAAAGGCTATCCAGTCCAAGATGGCCTCCCCTAAATGGACTGAAGTTCTGCTCAATATCGCTGCACAGAAATGCTGCTCAGGTACAAACAGATAAACGGTACTTTAGTCTAGTAAAGTCAAGTCAAGATTTTTATTTGCCATTTAAGCTTATGTGCCCAGCTTTTCTGAACTGCCTCATGAAGTATAGTCAATGCTGGGCTTTCTTCACTGTAGCAGCTGTGTTCAGTGACCAGCTCAGGTCAGATGTCACCTGCAGGCCCAGGAACTTGTGGCCCTCCGCCCTCTCCACCTCAGTCCCTTTGATGGTCAGAGGCAGTAGAGGGGAGGGGTTCTTCCTGAAGTCTACTATTATTTCTTTTGTCTTGTTTATATTGAGGATGAGGTCATTCTCCTCTCCATAAACAAGAATGTCATTCACCAAGCTTCTGTAACCCGACTCATCTCCCCCCTTGATTCGGCTCAGAGTGGTGGTGTCATCATCAGCATATTTAATGATGATGGTGGTGTCATGGTTGGAGACACAGTCGTGGGTGTACAGGGTGAAGAGTTTGGGGCCAAGACAGCAGCCTTGTGGTGAGCCTGTGCTGACTTTAGCTAATGAAGTGGTTTTCAACCAGTGGTCCGCAGCCCCATGGTGGCCCATGAAAGCATTGCAGGTGTAGTTTCACTATAGGAATCTTTTTTTTTTTTCTTCCTCCACAGTTCCATGTATTACATATTGTTTGTCAATAATCTAATTCATACAAATATATACACTTTAGAAAAGCCAAGGTGCTTTTTAGGATTAAAATGGCACCTCTTCAGTCTATTCACCCCACAACAATGGTCCTCAGGTTACTTCTTAGTCAGATTGAATGGATTCAACTAATGGTGGCCCAGGAACCACCATTAGTTGAAAATTTCTAATCTAATGAAAACAGCTGAGACATAAACTCTTGTGGACTGGTCATTCTAGGGGTCCCACTGGTGAAAAACCTGAGAACTCGCCTCCTAGCTCTTCATGTTCTGGAGGCTGTCTTACCTGCCTGTGAGACTAATATGGAGGATGACCAGATGACGCAGGTATGCTGCTTAGTTTGCTTTACATAGGCTCTTATAGGATATATTTCTTATTGTCAAGAAATCCCATTGAAAGACCAGAACGAAGAATGAACTAATCCTACCACTGTAGCTAATGTCATACAAATATACTGTGTCCCCAAAATCTGATACACCTTACTATATGCCGCTGTGCAGTCTAAAAAATGTTAAAAACACAACCACACTGTTGCACTGTTCCTTCATTATGATGAACATAGGAACTGTAGTTTATTTTGTGTCGATTCTGCATAAACCATCCTGTTGCTGTAGCCTAAACATGCATCACCATACCAAATCCTATTTTTCTTTGTTATAGTCATCTTTATTAGACCTGCAGGCCCAGGTATTTTAGGAAATTACTTTACCTTTATCAAAATGTAAATTCTATTTCTGAGGAGTTTTTATTGATTTACATCTTTAGAAGGAACCACTGTGTTTCAGGTTCGAGGGTAAGGAACTGGGATAGAACATCACCAGCTTACAGTGTTTATATAACAGACTAATTCAGCAAGTTGATATAATTATCTCGTCTAGGTTGTAGAGCGGCTCTTCTTCCTGCTGTCTGACTGCATGTGGGAAGCTCCCGTTGCTCAAGCCAAGCATTCAATCCAGATTAAAGAAAAAGTCCAAGAACTCAAACTGCAGGTGTGCAACCAACCTTCTCCAATCTTAACCCCTTTTGTGTTTAGTATATAATTTTTCTTTGTTTGAATGACAGTTTCTTTGATCCACAGGGAGAGACAGAGGAGGAGGATGAAAACCTTCCTACCCAGGAAGTGTCCTTTGACCCAGAAAAGGCTCAGTGTTGTGTGGTGGAAAATGGCCAGGGGCTGACACATGGCAGTGGGGGCAAAGGTTATGGCCTAGCCTCAACTGGTATCTCCTCTGGATGTTACCAGTGGAAGGTACAATGTCGTTTTATTATAGCTTCATAACTGGTTCAAAAATGGCTGCACAACAAAGGTCTATCGTTTTTGCACAGGCAGCAGGGTGTGTTACCATTTTAAGAAGAACTCTTATGTGCCCAGCTAAGTATACACACCAAGGCTGAGTTCATTGTAAACAGTTATACAAGGATTAGGGTAGAAACTGCAGCAGTGTATAAGAAAGTGTCCTACATACACATGCACAAATTTTTTCAGATGTTTTCTTGTTTTAATTCATGTCATGTTTTATTTCCCTTGTAGTTTTACATCGTGAAGGAGAACCGAGGCAATGAGGGTACATGTGTGGGTGTTTCAAGATGGCCCGTGCACGACTTCAACCACCGCACCACATCAGATATGTGGCTATACCGGGCATACAGTGGAAACCTATATCACAATGGAGAACAAACACTGACACTGAGCAGCTTTACTCAGGGAGACTTCATCACCTGTGTCCTGGACATGGAGGCAAGAACCATCTCCTTTGGCAAGAACGGAGAGGTGAGAGACAGAGGGGGGAACAAGTCTCACTAGCTCCTTAGCAGACACCAGACTTACTTATATCGTGTGCAAATGAGAAGACTGGTTATACTCATAAAATGTACAAATTGTATATTTCTGCATGAAGCAATACAAGTATTTTTAAAATTAACATTACCATCACCCTAATAAAACTGTGATAGTGTGTCATTGCAGGACTCTTGTTGCTGTTTGAAGCCATTTTTTCAGTTTGTTTCCCCTCAACACTGTACACCAACTAAAACTATCTTAGTAATCCCCCACTAATTAGAGCTCAGTAGACACATTACTACTCGGCACTCATTATGTCAGTATGCATGCACACAAGTGCTCTAGAGTGTCAGTGTGCACACAACAAAAGTCAGAAAGTATTGTTTGAATTTCATAATTAAAACATAACTTTTATTATTCAAATACACAACATACAAAGAATGTGGCAATTCATAAAATAAGCTGCACCAAAACTATGCATTGTTTCAGGGTTTTGTCTGTCCTTGTTACCTTGTGATTACACAGGAGCCAAAGTTAGCCTTTGAAGATGTGGACGCCACAGAACTCTATCCTTGTGTGATGTTCTATAGCAGTAACCCTGGAGAGAAGGTAAGGGAAATAAATTCCTGAGATGCATTTCCCCTCTTTCTCTGCAAAACAGTAACATGAGGGGTTATTTTAACTGTGCAGGTTTGTTTGCTTGTTTGTTTGTTTGTTTGTTTGCTTATCCTTTGGTCAAAGCTAATAAGATTTCTGTGAATGAGCAGAGTGTAACCAAACAGTACACCATATCTTTATATCTATAATACTAGTAACTCAACAATTACATTTAGCTGAGATTTCTTTTCTTCAGCTTTTTTTATTTTTGCTACAAGAAAAGTGTTTTGATGGAAATAAAGACCTCATTAATTTGATATTTGGCATTTTACTGTAGAAACAAACACAGTGTAACTGCCTATCATGACCTAAAGGATAATCTGGATCCGATCTGATTTAGGACACATTTTGCATGGTTCTGGATCTCATTTTTCCACAAGGGACCCATTTGCATGAGAGAATGTTGTGCCTTGGCGGAGGTGCATGCGCTCTCTGAGTGTCCTTGTTGGTCTATGTATCTCTCATTAAAACATTTGCTGTTGTTAGGCTCTTCTGCCCCCTTCTAACTAATTTCTTTTATTGGATTTAATGCTCTCTGTTGGTGCACTTATCTATTTCTATCTGCTTAACTTTGTCTCTAGGTTAAGATCTGTGACATGCAGATGAGGGGAACACCTCGAGACCTCTTACCTGGTGACCCAGTCTGCAGCCCCATGGCCACTGTTCTGGCTGAGGCCACCACACAGCTGATCCGTATCTTACATCGCAGTGACCACTGGACCCATCGTATCAACAAAACTATGATTGAGCGACTTCACAAAATCAAGCCTTGCTTTAGAGAGTCAGCCAGTACATCTGGTAGTGGCGGTGGTCAAAGACTGAAAAAGAGTCGTTCAGTGCAGAGCCGTGAAGAGCACGATGCCCAGAAGGAAAGCCAAGAAACACCCATAAGGATGGAGGAGGAGAGGGGTCGCCATGGACGGCAGCATGGCTTGGGGGAGCTGTCGGAGCACCACCTGAGAACACTCTGTACAGAGGTGTGGCCAGTCCTGGCGGTGATCGGGGGTACAGATGCAGGCCTCCGTGTTGGTGGGCGATGTGTGCACAAGCAGACTGGGCGCCATGCTACTTTATTGGGTGTGGTGAAGGAAGGCAGTACTTCAGCTAAGGTTCAGTGGGATGAAGCTGAGATCACTATCAGGTACTGGGTGAAAAAGTTTTGCTGTGGCACCCTTTTTGTCCCTTTTCTTTCAACATTTGACTTTGACAGTTTGTTATTTACTAGTATCTAAAGTAATTATCAGATATGCTATTTATATTTTGAAAATACCAGGCATGTAAAGTTTTTGGCTGTCACTGCTATTGGGTAAAAATGTTCTGAATGACTTTTTAGCCTTCTGAAACCTTTACCTCTTTAATACTGTGAATTAAGTGTCTTTTAGGGAAAAGCCCTCCTAATTCTTATAAGATCACATTACTGTTGCTCCAACAGCAGCATATGCATGATATTCTGTTCTGGATATAAAATGTGCTGTGGTATAGGTATATGGACATCAGTAAGGCTGGTCATGTGAAACACAGATGGAGCTGAATGTGATTTCTGAATGTTTCTTTACTGCTTGTATTCATATTCCTTTCATACCCACTAGCATTTTACTTTTTAATCATCTGCACCTTCAGTTTTCCCTGGTTCTGATTTAATGTTTTTCACATATTTGACAACAACAATAATAATATTAACAACAAGACTAATAACAGTAATAAAGACAAAAATGTTACAAAGTACTTCACATAAGGCAGATGAGTCATTATTGATGTTCCCTTTTTTGTCATTATTAATCCATTACAGTGTTGCATGGCCCACTAAATTATGGTTTGTGCCATTCCCACACATTGCATCTTTTTATTTTTCTTGCATGCTGTGCTCTTTCTGTCCTGCTCTCTCCCTTACTTTGTGTTTCCTTCCCTTGTCTTTTTCACTCTCCACTCCCTTCTATTAAAGCTTCCCAACTTTCTGGTCACCTAGTGACACTCCACTATACAACCTGGAACCCTGTGAGCCGCTGCCCTTTGACGTGGCACGTTTCCATGGCCTTACTGCTTCGCTGCTGTTGGACCTCACCTACCTTACCAGCATCCATGAGGAAACCACTGCTAAGCTGAGTGCACGGCGCCATGAGAAGAAGCATCGCAACGCAGCATCGACTGGGCACGGACTGACCAGTAATGATGACAAGGCAGACAATGATGGGGGGCACAATCGCAGTGAACAAAAAGACAATGTTGGACCCTCGTCTGGAGCCGCTTCAAGTACAGTGACCTCTGATCTGCGTGTGTCGCACAGCCTGGATGAGGTCAAAGCACATGTGGCACCCAACTCAAAATCAGAGAGTGAGATTTCCTCCGTGGCCGGCGGTGGCGTAGGTGGGAATGAGACTCTCTTTACTGCAGCTCCTCACACATCTGCTGAGGGGAACAGGAAGAAAGGCCATGATCATGGCTTCCGCAGTCATGAGCCGTCTCCTCCCTCTATAGCCACCCAGTCAGACATCCATGCTGTGCAGCTGTCCTACCTCTACCTGGGAGCTATGAAGACCCTCAGCGCTCTGCTTAGCTGCAGCAAATATGCCGAGCTGCTGCTTATACCAAAGGTACTGCAGCTTGCTTAGTTCTGTCATACAATAGCAGTTGAATCATTTACATGTTCTTCAGTTGAATGAAGCAGTTTTGAAATACCTCCTCAAAACATTGGCTGGTGTGAGTGAAATGTCATTCCTGAAACAGAGCCAGATTAAATATTGTCATATTTAAGCTAACCTATTCTCTGTCGTACCATCAAGGTATTACCAGAAGCTGCACCCAGTGGGCACAATGCTGATCTGAATGCCAGCACCAGTGGAAGCACAGCTGCCACCTCACCAGTATGCCAGGAGGAGGTGGAGATGCGGGCGGCTCTGCAGTTTCTTATGCGCCATATGGTGAAGCGAGCAGTGATGCGCGCCCCCATCAAACGGGCCTTGGGCCTCAGAGACCTGGAGAGGGCACAGGCCATGATCTACAAGCTAGTCGTGAATGGGCTGTTGGAGGAACCCAGCGGGGGGAAGTCCAAGCCTGGTGAGAATATGTAGAGGTTTGAGCCTAGAATTATGGCTACTGATTAATTTTCTACAAGACTCATTAATTGTCTGTCTATATATAAAACACCCATTGTAAACTCCTATAACCTTCAATATCCAATAACAAGAAATGATTCAGTTTAGAACTAAATGAACTGTTCACCAATTCTCATTACTACATTCATCATTATTAATTCTTGGATCTTAACTGCAGAGGCATTCTTACTGTATACATATTTTGCAGATAAGAGGCATTTTGTCAGTTTTGTCTTTTTATGTCCCACAGGAATCAGAAGTGAACCAGAGGGTGAAGGGGAAGGTACAGAGGGTGAGCAGCTGGCACAAACCCCAATCACCACCAGCCCCTCTGCTTCCAGCACCACATCCTTCATAAGCTCATCACTTGAGGACACCACCACTGCTACCACACCTGTCACAGATACAGAGACTGTCCCAGCCTCTGAGTCTCCAGGGGTCATGCCTCTCAGCCTCCTCAGGTCAGAACAGATGGCACCATATATTGTCAGTCAGCTAGTTGTATTTATTAACCTAGTTTTCCATATATGATTAAATAAAAATTATTATGTTAATGCTTCTCTGTGTTATGACAGGCAAATGTTCTCCAGCTATCCAACCACCACTCTCGTCCCAGCTCGTCGAGCCCAGACTCCTCCAGTGTCGTCTCTGCCAACCTCTCCCTCAGATGAAGTCGGCCGCAGGCAGAGTCTCACCTCTCCTGACTCACAGCCCACAAGACCACAAAACAGAACAGGTACCTGTAAGTATTGCCCTGGACATAAATATCACTGTTGTGCTGGAGAAAAGCTTCTAAAATATTCAGAAAGCCATGGAAAGCTGTATAGTTTTGAGCTTTTTATTTATTACACAGTTTTTAGAGTGTTTTAAAATCATGATGTCTTGACTTGTCTTTTTTGCCTATGGGGCTTTTGGGCATAGATACAGTATAAGCATAAATATGAAAAAGCCTTTTCACATTATAAAATGCACATTTTTACCCATACTTTTTATGCTTATCCTGGCATATTCAAACCTACGTCCCAGATTCTATAATGATTTCACGTTTGCTGTAGCTCTGTCAGACCCCAGCAGCCGGCTCTCGACATCTCCCCCTCCTCCTGCCATTGCTGTGCCCCTGCTGGAGATGGGCTTCTCGCTGCGCCAGATCACCAAAGCTCTGGAGGCCACTGGTCAGTCTGTCTAGTTGCACTTGTATTGCTTTTGTGAGAGCTTAATAATAGAATAAGAATAGATCAGTGCCTACACTACTGGAATACAACACTGTAATACTTACAAGAGCATGTGTATCTTTTTCTCAGTTAGCAGCAATTAATGCAAGTAATTGCACTATGCAGGTAGGCTGTAGCGATATACAGTTTGTGCCTAAGTTGCACAACAAAGACCCTGTTTACACTTGGTTTTGAAATGCGTCTTGGGCGATTGGACCACAAGTGGACAATGCTAACATCAGATGTAAACAATCACCAAGATGGTTTGTGATCCGATCACTGAAACCACTTGCTAAGGTGGTCTGTGATGGTGCTGGGTATTGACCTTCAGTACTTTTATGGCAACAATCAAATTACTTCAGTGCCATTGAGTACTGAAAAATTATTTTCTGCATTTTTATTTAGTGATGCTAATGTTAACTGAAATTAAGGTTGTGTTAAATAGGTTTACTTTTTATGTTATCAAACTGCTTTGAGCACATAAAAGTGCCAAGAAAATGAAAATATGTGTAAAAAAAAGTTAGATATAGTTAAAATTGATTTTAAATTTTGGAATGATACCCAGTCTGGGATGCATCATTTGTAGTGTAAATCCTGTTGCGTCCCCAACCCGGACATTACAGGAAAATACATCATCAGAGCAGGACATGGTAGATATTTTGATGTGTGCATTCAAAAAAGGAAATGTGCAATATGTGAAACCCATGAAGGGTTTCATAATATATCGATGTACAAATCTGACATTTGTCTTCTTTTATTTGGTAGACCACTGGTTACTTGTCTGGTAACAGACTGACATAACTGTGCAATGGGCTTTTCGCCTTTTAGCTGAAGTGACGCAGCAGTAATGAATTCTGAACACAAGTGGATACCTTGGCAAACTTTTGCATAAGACTGTATATAGGCAAGTATAACCAGCAAGGATAAGGATAATCACCTTTATTGGCCAAGTATGTTACACACACAAGGAATTTGTTTCTAGTACAGAACCGATGGCAGCCATCTGCGGCGCCAACTTAACTGATGGCTCTAACCATCGGGGGCAACGGGGGGTTCAGTGTCTTGCCCAAGGACACTTCGACACGTGGACTGGAGGCACCAAGATTTGAACCTTCAACCTTCTGGTTGGGAGACGACTGCTCTACCCACTGCACCATTGCCTCCCCCAATGTGTCTCACATGTCCACTTGTGTTCGGATCACTGAGACACATTTTAAAACTATGTCAAACGGGGTCAAAGTGTTTCCCCAAAAATGTTGACGTATTCCTGCTATCCCTAGGTGCTCGAGGAGAGGCAGATGCTCAGAACATCACAGTACTGGCCATGTGGATGATAGAACATCCAGGTACAGAGGACGAGCATGACGAGTCTCGCACCAGAGGCAGCGGCGTTGGTGGTGATGGATCTGACTCATCTTGTCCTGGTGCAACAGCCTCTACTGGAGGCAAAACTCTGGATAGGAACTCGTATCTGTGCTCTCCTGGAGAAATAGTTAGCGCAGATGCTTCAGAAATAGAGGAAGGCTTCAGCGAGAGGTAGGACTTCTAGGTAGTTTACCAATAATCCTAATTTAAAATCACTGAATACTATGGAAACCGAAGAGGTTTCCATAGTATAAATAAACTTATTTATGTATTTTTTTTTTTTTTAGTCCTGATGGTCTGGAGCAAGATAGTGCAACAGCTTCCAGCGGTGTTCCCCTCAGAGGACGCTCTGCTGTTGGTAGGAAACACCGCTTTGATCTGGCTGCACGGACATTGTTAGCCCGCGCTGGTGAGACTTTTCCACAAAAACATATCTTGTCTTTCTTCACATTTAGTCCAGACAAAGTGCGGGTTTATCTTCCATTTCTTCTCCTCACATTATACTTTCATTTCCTTCTAAGCTGGACTGTACCGCTCAGTGCAGGCCCACCACAGCCAGTCACGTCGTGAGGTCTCATCAATCCAGCAGCAGCAAGACCCCGGTGCCCTTTATGACTTCAACCTGGATGAAGAGCTGGAGATGGACTTGGACGAGGAGACCATGGAGGCCATGTTTGGCCAGGACCTTGCCAGCGACACCGACATTCTGGGAATGTGGATCCCAGAGGTACTGGACTGGCCAACATGGGTGTGTGTGATTTTATGCTATGGTCAGAGGGCTGCTATCACCATTCTGCTCTTTATTTGCCCAGCATTACTTCTCACTCACAGTAAATGCATGTGCACA